TGCATAAGTCATTTGTAAGCGATTATTTTCTATATTCAGAAGTCACATATATTTATAAAAAATACCTTAGAATTATCTTTATTATAATTTTGTACATATCACCCTCCTTCTTTTCAATATTAAATATAAGAGAGTCAATTGTGTTTTTAATAAATCATCAAGTACACTATCAAAAGGTAAAAAATTTTCACGTCTTTATATTAAAATTTGAGTTCTTCTAAGAGTTTAAAACAAACTCACACACAAAAGTTTGCTGTAGAAACCAAAATTATGATAAAAAATTTCTAAACTTTTCTTTTTAAGGAGCTGGGTGGTTTGTTTACATTCTTTTTCAGCAAGACATTTTTCGAGACCAGACTCAAAAATGTATGTATGCATGTATCTGTATGTATCTGTGCAGGTGTGCACACACACACAAACGTATGTACACACACACATATACATATGCTACATGAAACACCTACATCCGTACATACAAGCATATGCACATACATTTCTGAATTCAATCTCCTGAACACACTCTTTATGTATATAAATGCTTCTGTATGCAATTTTATAGAAATATTTAGCTACGCATGACAGAAAAATTACACAAGGTTTTAAGACGATTTTTCAATTTCCTTTCGTAAGAATGTGATTTTACTGTTTGCATGCGTGATTTATTTAAATCTGTTGATAAGAATTTCAAGAAATTTTGATTATTTGTGTAAACTCCGCATCAGTATAAAATGATCAAACATTAGCAATTTAAAACAAGAATAATATTCAGATATATTCAAAGTTCTTTATTTTATATAATGTTTTAGATATCTATCAAGAATGATAGTAATTAGTCATCAAACGAAATAAAAAATAACTTTTTCTTGATATTCTAGCACTTCACACGGAAAAACCAATTCACCCTTCCATAATCAACACAAATGTAAACAAACATCTCTTTACGACTGGTCGGAATGCGCAGAAATCACGAAAGTGTCTCTGCGCAACTAGTCGTACGTTTAGCATTTTTACCATGTTTCAGCTAAACGTCCGACGTCGTACGGGTAGACACAGCCACAGAGGTTATTGAAAACGAAAAAATTTCGATTGACAAATTCGTCGGTATTCTCGACACAGTAATTATAGGACTTGAACAGCGGAACTTTTTAACTGAACAAGAAATTATGTATGTTTATAGAATTAAAGAGAATGTATTATTACATAAAAAACGAAGCAACTTAAACAACTTACATTGAAAGAAATGTTTAATAAAGTAAACAAATAAATATTAAGCTTTTTTTTTTGTGTAAATTTTGATACCCTTTAGATCATAATTGTTCTTTATTTCGTAAATTACGGTTTCATATTTTTAATTTTATAATTTCTGCATGCCATTTTACCAGATTTAAACTGATGATCTATAATCCGGAAAAATCGATAATCCGGAATCGCCGAAGTCCCGACGAGTCCGGATTAACGACTTTTGACTGTATTTGCGATTAATTACAGCTCAATTATTAAGTCAAATTATATGAGTACGTCAATGCTTTGAGAGCTATCTGCCTAAATGGGAAGGATGCCTTCATGGAGGACTTTCTAAGGGAAACTGAATCGTATACACGTAACAAATGGAGAAAACCACGAAAAGGCCCATTCACCTAGCCAGTTTGCAGGATTCGACCCTTAGACCAAACTACCAGTGCTCAGTGACTTTAACGCTCGGTCGCTGGTGGGCCCAAGACATAAGAGGATCGACTTTAATAAGAATAATGTTTACTGCTGGTATTTTTATAGAGATTATATTGTTCTTATGAAAATATTAAATCACAGAGTTCATATTTTCCATAATATGCTTCAGCTTCAGCTTTATGTCGGTTTTCAAAGTATAATGACTAAATATTAAATAATATTTTATTGCTGCTATTATAAAAAAGGTAAAAAAATCAATTTTTACATTGATTATCAACAATATATCTTTATCAAAAGCACAGGTTAAATGAAAATATTTTTTAAAAAATTTTGCGACATTAAATCTCCCACAGGCAAATATTTCTGTTTCACACAAATAACAAAAAAAAAAAAAAAATCTTTTAAATAATGTCACATCTGCTAGCATACAAATGTTTGATACAGACTTTTTATATTACGAGATAATACATATAATACATTTCCAGCTTAAGAAACCATTATTCACCTATTTAGTACCTGGAGATCTAAGAAAACAGGAAATTTAATTGTTTGATAATTTCACAATATAAAATGGGGATTTCCCCTTTGTTAAAAATTTCATTTTATCTGTATACAAAACCATTTGCAGTTGTAAACACTGCATAAAAGCGAATTCAAAATTAGTTACACAAAAATTTTTAATAAATTATACATTAATTTACTCCATCCTTATAAATACAATCACAGTAAAATTAGTTACACAAAAATTGCTAATAAATTATACATTAATTTATTCCATTCTTATAAATACAATCACAGTGAAACTCTACCAATTTGCGTAAAGAAAGTCTAATCAAACTTTTCAGCCTAAATAAAAGAAAGAGAGTCGGCTCCACAAAGAAAAAAAATCTGATGTGTACGCCACATGACTTCCTTGTACGGAATATTAAATTATACGCATTTTTTTCTTGCATTTCATTTAAACTTATTGGTTGAATTAAATCTACTTCGCCGACAACGCATAAACCACAATAGAATAAATGCATTCTTTAAAATTCCCTCTATTTGTTTACCATAGCGACACTCTGGCGCTAGGTTCACTTAACAGTATTACATTTCGTTCATATTATAACTATGTCTATGTCTTATTACTTATTTAAGAGGCAATCGACTATTAACGGCCTTTACCAATATATTATACTTGGCTTTTAAATGCTTGAGGAATCGAGTAAGTTGTATCAATAATATGGAAGTACTTGTGCACATGCTGTGCTAGAACTCACAGATTACTAGCAACGGAGGGTCCTGTGCCGCCGTCCGTAGAATAAGTAAACTTTGAACAAATGAGGCGTCGTGTAGCACCATCTATTAGTAGGGATGAAAAGCATTTTAGTTGACTGGAGCTCTAGTTGCGCCATCTCTTGCAGGATATATTGTAAGGCATTTTTAAAATTTCATAAAAATTATTCTTCTGATAAGCAATAACTGGAAAGTGAAATGATGAAAAACACAATTTGCTGTTCATTGAAACGTTTCACAAGCATAAAAACTATTTACATACAAATTCTACCTGCTTTGGCAGGAACAAAGTCCATAGCGCTCATATTATAACTCAGAATGTACAAAATATATATCATTTAAAGAATTATCTCATCATTGCCACATGTTCTATTCAAACACTATAATAAATCTAGAACGATGTATAAAAGAAATTAAGCAAACAAAACAAAAAAAAAAAAAAAAAAAATTTTTTTTCACAGACGATTGAGTATTTCTCATTCATTTAATTCAGTTCTCACTTCGTGACAAGGCAAAAATATATAAAAACTCAAAATATCTGTATTAAAAATTACAAAGTAAATCTTAAACACTTATTTCCTCGAAAACATTCCAGAAAGGATTAAGCATGATTTAATTTGCAATAATAAATGAAGGCATTATCTTTGTTGCTCTGAAGCTAAGTTTCTCTACATTGGCAACAAATCCACTATTCTGCTGTTTCAAATGTAAACAAGCAACGACCGTCACCAAAAAATTATTAGGCTTAGCGGCACTTAAACAACTTTAAAATTGTTGATAATTCTAAAAATATTGCATACAGATTTACTAAGGGCATAAAAACCTTAACCAGAAGATAAGAAAGAACAACATAATTCAGTCATTTTTAAGGAAAAAAATATACAATTTATAAACATATCACAGTAAAGAAACTGAGATCACTGAACTGGGTAACAGAGTGGATATATTTATATACGTTTGGTACTGCTGATTGCAACCAAAATACAAGCTGCACATCTACATATTATAGTAGTCCCATATGCAAAATTTCAGCGTTCTGCATACGTACATAGAGACAGCCCGAAAAATTCTCTTCAGAATTCATTTTAAAGCAGTTTTAGAATTTTTTTGTAGGAAAAGAGTCTTTTATTCTGTCCTTAAGCACAGATATCACACAAAAACATCGTTAAATTGCATTCAATATCGGTCAAAATGGATGTTTTTGTTGAAATATGCTGCCTGAAACTTTTTGCGATTACAATACTTCCTTTTTACTTCGGACAAGGAAGTAAAAAGGAAAGAAAATATAGAATAGAAATTTAGATTTTAAATTATTTTCTGTCAGATCCGTACAGATTAAATGATGAATTCAGTTAGCTTAAAAAAAGACAAAAGCAATTAAAATACTCAAATATTGTGTTTCAGTAAAATAAAAATTTCTGCCTGTTCAGTTACAGATACAAATAATGCCTATGATATATAAATATATACCATGAGGCAGAGAACACGTGATTAATTCTTCTATTTCGCATTCAAAAGTAATAAAGAACATATGAAAAATGCCACATACCATATTTATACCATATTTGAAATAAATGCAGCTGAAACAGAAATTAAAAGAGTTTTTCTCCTTAACTATCAGAACAAACAAATTACAATCTTATCACAATTTTTCAATTATATCAATAACCTTCATTCTACTCTTGTGAAAGCTATAAATGCGTGTACAAGTTTGGACATGTATGCTTAATTGAATATTTATTTTCTGTAATTCTTGAAGTCTTGTTGCAAAGATTTCTTTCAATAATATATATAATAAATTATGTATATGCATATTATCAAATTACGTATTACGTATATTACGTATGTATATAATATATATATATCAAATTACGTTATGCAAAGTAATATAATAAACTCTGTGCATTTTTGCAGATAAAAATTAAAGCATATATATCATTAATTTTTAAATACAAATTATTCTTTTCTGCATATAAATACTTATATACGTATTTCATTTATCTTCCTTTTCATTTCCATATGTTGTTTACTAAAAACTTTAATTTCACAATCACTCATTTTCATCATTTCTGTCCTTTATTTAAATGCATTTTATATCAAAATGCTTTTTAAATCAGTACAAGTTAACAATTTTCATTATCATTGCACTTATTTTTGTCTGATTTGCCAGACATAACTTCATAAGCTTTAATCGCTGCTGCTGATACACATGTAATAGTAGCTTTTCCAACTATTCCTAAACCCGCAGCTCCTACACTCTGCAGAGCAGCAAATGTCGATCCAGAAAGAATGCTTCCTCCTATCATAGTACTCTGATAAGTAGCTGCAAGAGATCCAGCTGCAATACCTCCTGCACCGAAACCAGCAGCTGCAAGTACAGCGGGAGCTCCAGCTATGGCAATGCCAGCAACAGCTGCAGTTTTAATACCAAATTCTATAATAAAATAAATAAATAATATCATTTACAAAGAACTTAATATTCTACAAACAATTACAGTTATAAATTAGAAACCCATGTTTTCATATTTTTAATATTCAAAGTTATTAAACTAATCATCCTGTACGAGGTCCAAATTTAAATTTTAAAGAAACACACAAATATACTTACAAGTATTCGGACAGAATTCAAGATGCAAGAGATTTTCAAATTTATCCAAATGTTATATCATTTATCAACTTAGCTTTAATAAATTACATTTATACTGTACTAATCCGGACTCGTCGGGACTTCGGCGATTCCGGATTATAGATCATCAATTTAAATCTGGTAAGATGGCATGCAGAAATTATAAAATTAAAGATATGAAACCGTAATTTATGAAATAAAGAGCAATTATGATCTAAAGGGTATCAAAATTTACAAAAAAAAAAAAAAAAAAAAAAAAAGCTTAATATTTATTTGTTTACTTTATTAAACATTTCTTTCAATGTAAGTTGTTTAAGTTGCTTCGTTTATTGTGCTAATGCTTTCTCTTTAATTCTATAAACAGATATAATTTTTTGTTCAGTTCCATTGTTCATGTCCTGTAATTGCTGTGTCGAGAATATCGACTAACTTGTCAATCAAAATTTTTTCGTTTTCAATAACCTCTCTGTCTCTTTCTTCACTATCGGAAACAGTACATCAAAACAAGCTTTTGCTTTGTGTAGATCTTTTGGCAGCTCCAGAATCGGAAATCCTTTTTGACATAATGGAAAGTTCAAGCTTACTCTAACAATCTGCAAAAATAATAAGGCGGATCCAATTAGAAGATTAAGGAGCAACGCAATCTGCAACATTAACTAAAATAGATAATTAGATATTAGCCTAGCTTATACCATCTGTTATACATTAAATGCGCATGCATAAATGTATTATGAGCATGCATAAACACATTGCTTATTTTGTCTAGCATTAAATAATTCAGCATTAAACAATCTACATCATCTAAATGATTCCATGCAAAATACACTGATTAACAAAGAGGATCATAACTAAAGAAACAAACAAAAAAAATGTTGATGTGGACACCACCTCCTTGTACGGCCTATTAAATTATACACATTTTTTGCTGAATTTCATTTTTACTTATTTCCTCGGATTTCATTAGAGATATATTTCTCATTCAATTAAGTTAGATCTCATTTCGCAACAAGGCTAAAAATACATAAAAACTCAAAACGTCTTCAATAAAAATTGAAAAATATAGAAAAACATAAAACACCAAATATAATTAAAACAGGTAAAAAATCTTTTTTACAATTAGAATTAGAGTTTCTGCGCAAAAACAAGCAAAGAAGGCAGATTTTTTGATGTACAAAACTGAAAGTATACTTTTAGTTCCACTCGGCAAAAAGGCACTGAAAGAACAAAAACTGACGTAATTCACTATTCTGCTAAGTTTCAAATAAAAAATAAATATGGCTGCTCTGTTAGGCTTAGTCTCATTTAAACAACTTTTAAATTGTTGATAATTCTACAACTATTGCATGCAGATTAACTAAAAACATAAAAATCTTGACCATAACATAGGAAGAACTTAATTCAATCACTTTATGCACAATTTACCAACATATAAGAATTTAAAAAAACTGAGCTCCTTGTACGGCCTATGAGCCAAGTAACAGAGTGTGTATACATATATATATGTATACTCACTCTCATCAAAAGTATATACAAGGTGTGGCTATTAATTTCAAGGACTGCTCTAATAACACCAAAACAGATGATGTGAAAAATGTAACCTTTTAATATGTTTCGAAGTAATCTCCATCTGTCATAATACACTTCTGTGCTCAGTTGTATAAGTTGTGGAAACAACTTTTAAAGTCCTCTTTGGGAAGGCTCATTAATGATGATGTCACGTTGCATGACAACGCCCACCCCCCACATTGCGTTCCCAGTGAAGAGGTTTTTGACCAAGCATGACGTAATGGAGCTGCATCATCCACCATACTCTCCTGACTTGGCCCCCACAGACTTCTTTTTGTTTCTCAAACTAAAAACTGTGATCAAAGGAATACCCTTTGTGGATGTTGAAGACATCAAGAAGAATGTGACGTTGACATTGAAGAGCCATCTGAAAAAGGACTTTAAAAGTTGTTCCACAACTTGTACAGTCGAGCACAGAAGTGTATTACGGCAGATGGGGATTACTTCGAAACATATTAAAAGGTTACGTTTTTCACATCATCTGTTCTGGTGTTATTAGAGCAGTCCTGGAAAGTAATAGCCCCACCTTGTATATATATATATATATATATATATCAAAGATTGAATTAATTAATTAAAATACATTGAACAAAATAAATTCCCTAATACTTGCACAATAGCTGCAAAGTAATATAATAATGATTTATTTACTAATGGAATATTCAGTATATTATCTCCTTATATAAAGTTAATAGAATTAACTTTACATAAGGAAATAATATACTCAGTATCCCATTAGTGAATAAAACACTTTTGGTGCGGCCGATTTGAACCAAAAAAGAAAAATGGTATATTTTCACTGAAATATTAGCGGTATATTTTCACTGAAATATGATACCGAAATTTTTCGTGATTACCATGTTTCCTTCACTAGGAAGTAAAAATCAAAACAGTTTGATAATTTAACAAATAAAAAGACAGCAAACAAAGAATATTGGAGAGGAAATATCATAATGTATGATTCCAGCAACTTAACAAATAGTTTCAAACTCTGTTTTCATTTTCTTAACAAAAATTATGCATCTGACACTCATTACAACGATCTTTGGCCTGCTACAAACAAAAAACCTCAAAAACAAGTAATCACCGTAATGAAAGTGGATTTAATATGCCCTTATAAGATGCTGGGGAACTACTCTGATATGCGCCCTCAAGTCGCCAAATTTCTCGCCAAATATTTTTAGCGAGAAACTTCACGCTGCCATATTACTATCTAAATATTTTGTCTACATTTTGAACTTTTAGCCTAAAATGTCTCCAAAAACGTGGTTTTCGCACATGCGAAAACTACGTTTTGAACACACAACTTAGCTAAAAATCCGAAACAAAAACAAAAAATTTAGATAGCAAAAACGTAAAGTTTCTCACCAGAATCCATGTACACAGCGACATGTTTTAACTTAAAAAAACATCTACAAATTGCACAATGTAGGCAACGAACGAATCTACAAACTACGCACACCTCGCTTTAATAAATTAACATAACAATAAATTTCAAAGAATACCATGTACACAGCATCCTGTTTAAACTTAAAAAAATTCTACGAATTGCACAATTTAGGCAAGGAAGGAATCTACGATCTACGCACTCCTCGCTTTAATAAAATAACATAACAACAATTAATTTCAAATAATACCATCTACGCACTCCTCGCTTTAATAAAATAACATAACAACAATAAATTTCAAATAATACCATGTACACAGCGTTCTGTTTCAACTTTAAAAAACATGTATGAATTGTACAGTCTAGACACTAAAACAAAATAAACTAAAATAAATTTCAAACAATTTAAAAAAACAACAATAACGACAGAAATTCATACTAAAGAACCAATGAACATAACATTCTACAAAATAAGAACAAGGATAAAATAAAATGCACTTACCATCAATTAATGTGTTTTTGAATAGCAGAAATATAAATTTTATACCGCCTTTAACATGCCGCCACGTAATCACTATCGTATTTACATGACAGCCAGACACACTATCCAGAAATTTTATACTAAGGTTCACAAATAAATAAAATCACAAATCCCTACTTCTATCATGCACTGCCATTAAAAATAATCTCCTAGACCCTCTTTCCACACTTCCAAATACCCACTACCCCTCAACAGGATAGCCACAATGATATTTCCTTTTGCCGAACTTCAATTCAACAACTACCATTTTATCTTTCTCTCCCATCTTCTCAGACACAGAGGCGAACCAACGAGCTCCAGCGAAAGATTTTTCAACGTCAACAGGGTTGCCATAGAACACACAATCGCGCCAAAACCCAGCGCAGAACACATATCGCCACATTTGGTGAAATTAGTGCGTATATTAGAGTTGTACAGATGCTGGTATTCGGAATGCAATGGCTAATTAAATTAGCCAACACAAATGGAAGATTTAAACCCAAAATTTAAAAACTCAACAAGAAAACGCAATATTAAATTCGAATTCTGGGTTCCAACATTTAACATAGCTTACTAAATTCTACTTTAATCTCTTCTTTCCTACTAAGAAATCTGAAGAACTAATGAAAATCTCCCTTTAACTTCTTGAAACAACAAAAACAAAATTCTGAGCTCACAAAAATAGGTAATGGAATAGCTTGATAATAATGAAAAACTAAATTACAGACATATTCTATTATATTATTAATGATTCTTATCTTAATGTAGTAAATCCACATTTCATTATTAGATACTTTTGAATAAAAAGTTAGTTAAAAATACTTCATTTTGAACTAACGTTTAGATAATAAATGCCTTAGCATTTACTATCAAAATTAATTCATTAACTTTTATGTAAATCATCCATTAATTAATTAATGTATTAATTTTAAATTTGGTTAGAGTTGACTTAAGGGTACCTTTTGTATTATCGCGAAGTTGTTTCATTTATTGCCAAGTTGTTGTATCATTTATGGTAACCTGAGTGGCTGAATGTTATGGAAACCCTATTATGACAGAATTGGTTGCATTATTCCGGAAAATTTTGAATCATGGGATGTTTTGTAAGGGCTTTTGTGGTGTGTGTTGTTAGAAAGTACTTTGCTAGCTTTATTGTTTAGACGGTAGAATGGCTGAATGCAGTAATATTAATTTGATGTTTCTGTACGATTTGGAACAAAAAGGGAAAAGAGCATTAATTGACTGGTGTGTAAATGAAAGTTTACTTTTAACCTATGTTTGAGGCCATTTTCCGGACAGACAGTAGCCATTTTCCGGACAGTCTGGAACTAAGGAGGATATTTTTTACTCTTATTTTTGTGAATTTATGTGGCGATGCCAATACATGGATTCGAGTTCAGATAATTTTAGGAAGTTTTTGGATGCTGTTAAGGAATTTTGTGTGCCACAGACTGAAGACTAAGAAATTTCTAAATAAGGTAAGTGGATATTTCCTTTGTGTAGTGCTTAAATGTATAAGAAGTTTGTTTGGTTTAAAATGTAGTTTATTGAGATTATGTTTTTTTTTTTTTTTTTTTTTTTTTTTTTTGCCTCTACTGTAAAATTGGGTGCTCCTTTGACTTTTTAAGTGAAAATATATCAATATGTACATGGACAAAGTGAAGGGAGTGCATAATGCTAAATTTGTGCAATTCTCTGATGTTTTAAGTTAAAACAGGTTGACGTGTACATGGATAAAGTCAAGGGAATGCACAATGCAAATTTGTGCAATTCTGGGATGTTTTTTTAAGTGAAAATAGGTCGATGTGTACATGGATACCAAGTTTGTGCAATTCTTTGTCTTGTTATTTTGGCTTTGTGTAGTAGCGATTTTTGTCGTGCAATTCTGGAATGTTTTTCCCAAGTGAAAATACGTGGATGTGTACATGGATACCGAGTTTGTGCAACTCTTTGTCTTGTTATTTTGGCTTTGTGTAGTGGCGATTTTTGTCATGCAATTCTGGGATGTTTTTTTAAGTGAAAATAGGTGGATGTGTACATGGATATTGAGTTTGTGCAACTCTTTGTTTTGTTATTTTGGCTTTGTGTAGAATTGATTTTTGTTACAAAAATCACCCCTACACAAGCCTAAATAACAAGTCAAAGACGTGCACAAACTCGGCATCCATGTACCGCCAAAAAATCGCCAATTTTCGCGATGGGGAACCCGTAAATGTACTTTTACTTTAAATTTTATTTAGTTATTTTTGTAAAACTTTTAAACTGAAAATTAAGAGAGGGAATAAAAATTTTTAAACTGGGAAGAAATATGAAAACAAAATCCCCTTTATATTACATTTTATGCATATTTCCTGTAATTTAAAAATAAACCCTAAAATATTAAAATTTATTGTTAGTTTAATGGTAATATTTCAAACAATGGTCCTAACTGGTACATTTTATAGTTTTGGAAATCATTTGCATAATAAGAATTGTTAAAATGGGTGAAAAGATCTCTATACATCACTTACTAATATTATCAGAATCAGTCACTGCTGACACAACAGAATCCTGAAATAACAAAATATGTCAATACAAAAATTATAAGTGATTAATATTTTACATAGCAGCTAATTTATAAACAAAGACTTTTATCTCAAAAGCCTTACCAGTTACAACAAACCTATCTCAAAAAGAATTTTTAAAGCTAATTTTTACTACTTAATTATCATATTTACTTGTATATTTTACCCCCTTTTCTTACTAATTTTACCACTTGAAAATCGAGATTCGGGAAGTACACAATATGTATTGTTGCGTGCATATGAGTTCACAGTGGACTGAATGCACACAGAACAGATGATAGCTTGATAAAACTTATTTTTGCTAAAGAAATGCTTTACGTTTCTAGAAATTTCCACAAAAGTACTCCTACAACTCTTGCCACCTGCTTGTTTTTCCACTTCTCACACAAAAATTGTTGCGTCCGGACGGGTTTGCGATGGGCTGAATGTACACGGATAATAGCTTGATAAAACTTACTTTTCAAAATGAAACACTTTATAGATCTGGATCTTTCCTCAAAAATACTTGTTCAGTTCTTCTCAGTATGACAGTGCACAATCAGTATTTACCACTTTAAAAAATTAAAGTTAAACAGAACGTAATGAAAGCGCATAGTGAGAACTGATGCTCTTCCCAGTGTTATATAGTTTACCTCCGGCAGCTGGGAAATTTCAAGTACTTTTCCTTTCTCGAAATTACTGGAGGGCATAAAGTTACATATAAAGGGCAGATAAGTTAAGAGTTAAATATAGGAAACAATTACAGTTATTCAGTTAAATTACAAGTTACCGTTATACAGGGACGAATCATTGAATGGTCACCAAATTTTTTACTTCTGGTGATTTCTAAAGTGAGTCGTCATAACCAAAGCCATCTTGACGATATCTCGCGAGTTTAAAGAGTAATCCATTTACCTCAGTGTTAAATAGATTTGCCTCTTTAATCTTATTTTTCAAGTAGAACTTCGCTTGGCTAAAATGCAGAATCACCCACTTATTTGATTGGTGTTTGTTTGGCACTTTTTACAAGAGTAAGAAGAATTCATTTTTTGTCAATTTTCTTTGACTTTTTAAGTGAAAATAGGTCGATGTGTACATGGATAAAGGGAGTGCGCAATGCTCTTTTTGTGCAATTCTGGAACATTTTTTAATTGAAAATAGGTCGATGTGTACATGGATAGCGAGTATGTGCAATTCTTAAAACCGCGCCAAGCAGTGGGCGATTCTGCACTTCCCCCTTCACTTTTTCAAGACTCTTCCCGTTACATAACACAATTTTATACATAATTTCAAAATTATTTACATGTATACAAAATTCGTAACAATACTATTTCTGAAGAGACAACTTGAATGATTAATATCGCACATTATGAAGCACACATAAAACCACATTAATATTGCATTATGTATTTCAGAGGACGTATCCACTTCAGTAATATGTCTTTTACAAACAAAAAATAGTTTTCTATTTGTGCAAGCGTTTTAAACTTATGGTCTGTATATTACATTTTGATTTATCATATGAGTAGGACTTATGAAACCTTTTATTAATACAGTCAAAAGTCTTTAATTTGGACTCGTCAGGACTTCGGTAATTCCAGATTATAGATCATCAGTTAAAATCTGGTAAGATGGTATGCAGAAATTATAAAAGTAAAAATATGAAACTGTAATTTATGAAATAAAGAGCAATTATGATCTAAGGGGTATCAAAATTTACAAAAAAAAAAGCTTAATATTTAATTGTTTACTTTATTAAATATTTCTTTCAACACACACATGCGTAAAGCATACATTACGAATAGTCGAAATTAGAAAATTGCAACCAGAAAACTGTTTGATGTGTACCGTATTTGACGGCATATACGATGCACTTCTTTTCCTAAATTTGGTTTCAAAAAAGTTATCTGCGTCTTATACGTGAAGGACACAATCTTATACGTGAAGGTAATTGCATTCAATAATTGTTTATTTGGCTTTTACGAAACATGAGAACTAAAAGAAACCACGCTATTGAAACTTTTTCCCCTTGTGTGTGGCCGTCTAAATAAGGGTGCAGAGAACTAAAAGAAACCACGCTATTGAAACTTTTTCCCCTTGTGTGTGGCCGTCTAAATAAGGATGCGTCTTATATGCCATCAAATACGGTATTCGTGATATTTATAATGACGAGGAATTTGATTTAAATCATATCAAAGACAGAGTACATTGAGATGAAATACTACATTTAGTAATGGAATATAAGCTGAATAAAATAAAACCATCTGCCCTGAAGATAAAGGATAGTGCTGACAGATCAACTTCCAGTTCGATTGCGCGCCGCGAAGCCCCCCCCCCCCCCTCCCCTGCAGAGCAGCGTGAAATTGATAAACACAGATTTCGGAATGATTAGAGAAACAAAGGATATGCCTTTATCCATTTTTTGCAGCAATTTCACTTTTTGTTTGATGGACATCGAAACATGCTTTCGCTTTGTAGATCCTTTGGGCAGCTCCAGAATCGGAAATTCTTTTTGACATAATCGAAAGTTCAAGCTTACTTTTATAAAATTGCTCTAACACTCTGCAAAAATAATAAGCTGGATCCAATTAGAAGATTAAGGAACAATGCAATCTGCAACATTAACTGAAATAGATAATTTTAGCTTAGCTTATACTGTCCGTTATACATTAAACGCCCATGCGTAAAGGTATTATGTGCATGCGTAAACGCATTTTATACATTAAATGCGCATACGTAAACGTATTATGTGCATGCGTAAAGGTATTATGATAATGCATTTACGCATGCGCAGAAAGTTTGTAGCTTTGAGGTCCGGATTACAGATCATTCTGGATTATGGACGTCCGGATTAAAGATTTTTGACTGTAATACTAAATACTATAATAAATAATAATATTACATACTAAGAGAAATCAGGTAAAAATCCTCAGATAAATTATGCCCTTTTATTAATACATTTATTTGTTTGAGATACTTTCAGTAAGAGGAAATAGATGGCTTTATAATAAATTTACAAAGATATAGTCCATTACGACTATTCAGGTTTATTGCAAAGCAGAGAATACAAGTTACACAAACAGAAAACAATACTGATTAAAGAAATAAATAAAATTCTTTTACCAAGATGGATTCTTTTTCTTCTTCCTTGCCCGTATCTTTGCAGAAAATGAACACATTCTGAAAAAAAAATTATATAATAAAATCCAAGGCTATAAATATAATAATTATCAATTGACTCATGAATATAACTTGGTGAATGGTTGGTATTTTGTTGAATGACGAATGTAAATATCAAAACTGAAAATTAACTTTGCAAAAGCATTATTTTACCTTACCCCTCTAGGATAAAAAATGAAAAATAAAATTTTAACAACAAAATAAATAAACGTAATCCTGCTACTACGATTACTTTGGACTAATTCAGCCATCCAATAAAATTTTGAAAAGATTCTATTTCACACTCAAAATATTTATTTTATTACATGAAATCATTTTAGAATAAAAAAATTCTTAAAACGCTTAATGCTTGTTTATCTCATAAAACAAATTTGCTAACAGAAAATCTTTAAAATTTGGGTGTTTTATACTTTGCTACCAATGGCTTTTCATATTGCATACTAAAATATCCTTTCCTAAAAATATTTAATTTTTTTAATAACATTTTTATTTTACAAGCAAAAGCTTTCTCTAAATCATGCATACGACTTCAAAACTAGAAAGCATGTGTTTACTTAATTTATATCAAAGAGGTCAAGAACTATCTGGCAAAATAGGCATACTGGTTGATCTTTACATTACGGTAACTGGTAGTTTGGCGACATTTTGGAGGCGATAAAGGTTACTACCTGGGACTTTGGCAATAATGTGAGCAGTACTGAGTTCCGATTACGCATTATTTTGTGTGGGGGAAATGAGAGATCATGGGATATGTCATGTGATATTAATGGACGAATTACGGTTCTTTAATCGGAAAAGGGGGGAAATCGGGAAAAAAATCTGGAAATTTTTATTGCGTTTAGCATTTTGGCTTTAGCTTCATAGTGTGTTGTGTGAAATAGTGTTGATTAATTTTTGGATCCCATGGCCCTAAGTAAAGTGAATTCGAAATGGGTATTTAGTGGTATTGAAAAGGATAGTAAGAAATGTTTTTTAAGGTTGTGTGAGAGAGAAATAAACATGTTTTATTATGTTATTTTTTTTACCTGGTATCTTGCTTTGAAAGATAAGTATGATTTTAAAGATTCTGAAAGAGAATGAAGAAAAGTGTATCCGCCACGTAATGAAGATTCTGAAGGAGATTAGGTAAGTTAGTATTTTTAATTATTTTTATGCATTTTGAAATGTAAGGTGGAAAGGAATTTGGTATTATTGGGAAAATTGTTATTAGCAATGATTTAGTTTAAAGTAATTAGGATTGTAAGGTAATTTTTATTAATTGAATGTATGTGCATGTATATTTTAAGTGGTGTTTTTGAATTTAATTATATTTTAATGAAATGATAGTTATTTTGTGAATTTTATACTTGTAGGAATTTGGTGTATGTTTAAGTTGAAATAAATGTGCATGGAAATAATTTTAAATATTGATAATAAATATTTGTAATGCTTCATGTATGAATTCGTTGGTGACGTGTATAATGTAATAGATGATTTAGAGGTAAAAGTTTTTGGATATTTTATTTATTTTATATTGGAAATGTTCATATTTGTAAAGGGTAAATACTTTTTCGCGATCATGTAATTTCATATATGTTCTTTTTACCGGGTTTAAAGATTCAGAAATTTGTCATGTATTTTCGTGAAATTTTTTTAATTTATGAGATAAAAGCAGTGTACATGGATATAGTGAAGAGTGTGCGGGAATGCCATTTTTGTGCAATTCTGGGATGTTCTTTAAGTAAAAATAAGTCGACGTGTACATGTTCAGTGATATTTTAATGAAATGATAGTTATTTTGTGAATTTATGCTTGTAGGAATTTGGTTTACGTTTAAGTTGAAACAAACGTGCATGGAAATAATTTAATATTTGATACTAAATATTTGTAATGCTTCATGTATGAATTCGTTGGTGACGTGTATAATGTAATAGATGATTTAGAGGTAAAGTTTTTGGATATTTTATTTTTTTATATGTGGAAATGTTCATATTGTAAAGGGTAAATACTTTTTCGCGATCAGGTAATTTCATATATGTTCTTTTTACCACCGGGTTTAAAGATTGAGAAAATTGTCATGTATTTTCGTGAAATTTTTATTTTTTCGAATTTTATGAAAAAAGCAGTGTACATGGATATAGTGAAGAGTGTGCGTAATGCCATTTTGTGCAATTCTGGGATGTTTTTTTAGTAAAAATAAGTCGGCGTTGTACATGGTTTATGTGTATGTGGTTATTTTGAAAATGCGTAAGGTGTATGGTATTGTGCACTTTTTCCGAATTTTGCAGTGAATATTTGTCATGATTAAGCAGTTTTGTTTGATAAAATTTCTAGCATAAGTGTAATTCGGCTAGTAGATTGTTGGAAGAAGTGTTCAGTAGATAAGAAGAAAAGAAACATGTCTTTTACTTCGTGAAGACAAAATGGCGGCGGGGAAAAAAAAAATAGAGGTTGCTGTAGTGGAGTTGGTCGCCAAATTTTCGCCAAAAAATCGCCAAGTTACCGTAATGTAAAGATCAACCGGCATACTTTCTGGAAGAATCTGTAAGAGAAATGTTACGCATTTATGTAACATCGATAAACACATTAAAACCACATATTCATAACCCCATACAATATAAGATAGATATGAAATAAATGCAATAAACTGAAGGATATATTCTCTTTCATTTCAATGTCTATTTATTTGATGATATATATTCTTTGCGCTTTCACTTAAACATCACATAAAAACATACCCTTTCTTATTAGTAAAAAATTTTACTAGCAAAATTCTTTATGATTTATAAACAACATTTAAAAATAATAAATAAATTATAATGTACTTAATCGGGAAATCTAATTTTATAATAAATATACATAAATTGTATAGCTCCCTTCTCACGTGATTTAAGAAATATTCATTAAGCTTCTAATACATGTTATTTTTCTTTTCCTTTAAAACTGAATAATATACAAAATAAAAATACACCGATAATGATTTGATTAAAAAAATAAATTACCGCACATTATGCATAAAAATAAAAAAAAAATTCAATTTGCAATCATTAATAAAAAAATTGAAATAATTAAATAAGATTAAATAAATTAGTTAACTAAAAGCACCAAACATGAGGAAATGTCAAAAAATATTAAAAAATATTTCAAATCATAATTTTGTTATATCTCTTATAGTATTAAATATAATCACATAAATAACAACCTGAGTTAAAATAAGCAAAGCAAAAAACACGCTCTTGCTGAACGGCTTCATTTTAGTTACAAAAGCACAGTTTGCTTGGTTATAATTCTATGGTAAGAACACTACGTATAAACTAAAAGCGGGAATTCCCCGAAATCGAAAATTGCGTTCTTTCGATTTCCCAGGATAATAATATTAGTGGCGCCATCTAGGTCAGTAAAATACAATAATTCTTTTTTAACCCTCAAAAAAGCTGTTTTCCCGAATAATAACTTCAATGTACGAAGACAAGGGCAGAGCTAGAGGGGGGCAAGGGGGCATCTGTCTTCGGGCGCAGAATCCAAGGGGCGCCAAAATGATGTTACGACATTTTAGAATTAAATGTTTTCCATCCTTGGCAAGCAGTAAGGGGCGCGAAATCTTCAGTTGTTCCTTGGCGCTAAAAACCCTAGCTACGACTCTGTACGAAGATATAATCATATGATATTTTATTCTTTACACGTAACGTATGATAGTTCAAGGAAGTTTGATCAAAAGAAATAAAGCAAGATAAGTAACAGAAAAATATTGCTTTTTATTATTTTTTCTAATCAAATTATTTGTAATTAATTGCGAGATATTTAAGAAGATTTGAGTCAAAACAATTTATGTATATGAATAACTAGAATGCCTGGCGGTCATACGAAATGACCGATGTTCTAGATATTATAAATTGTAATTAAAATGATTTGTGCAAAGGTGTCTGCTAATTTAAACTGAATTACCCAGGGCAGGCGGCGAAGACCCCCCTTTGCTTACTGCCACACGGGGTTTCCCCCTTCTACTGCTTATTGCTTAAAGTAGAGCGCAATGAAGAAACCACTGCGGTTACATTTCTTAAGAGCCACCGCTAGCTCAGTCAAAAGGTGATAAAAAATGAATGTTTATTCACATGTCACAGATCTCTTTGTACACAACATTTCTTGTGTAGATCTTTGCATCATTTTTAAGCTCGCCTGGCAGAGGACCATTCATTATTTTAATTTTACGTCCATTCTTTCAAAACTCTTGAACAGGCATAAAAGTTGACCGTGTCCAAATGCAGGCTCAGTAGAAAAATGCCAACACGCTTAAGCGTTTTCGCCCGAAACTTATGGATGGCTTTAGCAAAGGCAAGTTTTAAGGAAACTGTCTACGTCTCAATTGAACGGCAACCCTGTCCATGGCAACTTCACTAGTAGAGATACGCAAGCAATCAATAAACTACGGCGACAACCCCTTAGCCGCATTATATATGGAGTGAAGTAACATCATCTCCTCTGAATCAGCTGGCTCCCGGGCTTAGGGAAGCACACCGTTAGATTCCGCAGTTCCGTGGCACACCATTTTGACCATTCGCGTCTTCTTGGGACTTTAATTATCCGGGATATTAATTAAAAATTAATTTTCCCTAACGTTTTCCCTACATTTTCCACTTCCTTTCTTGGGTTTTTCCTATTACAGGGATTTGGCTACGTGCCAAATTCTTTTTTCTCGAATATGTACGGAACGGCGCCGAGTTGAAATTCAAGACGCGTATCCTCGGATTCCAAAAAATTCTCCGAATCCATCGATACCGTTCGTGAGACTTTAAGCGGCCGAGATGTTAATTAAAAACTTCGGAAATGTTAATTTCCGCGCTCATTTTCCGTGTGGCAGCAATAAACTATCGGCGAATCCCACTTTAGCCGCTTATATATATAAAGATAATGAAGAGATCAGGCATTAATTCTTATAGTTAAACTATGAGCTAAATTTTAAACTGTATAACATGAAAATTGTAATATTTTGTATTAGAGTGTTATAAACAGATAGAAAAATTTAAATCGCTTAATTTTTCGGAGAATTTTTAATGGAACCACGGACCTCTTCAATTTTAATTTTAGCGTAATTTAATTTTAATGTTAATTTATTTGGGGAAGGAATGGTTAGTTATATCAAGGAACGTCTTCGAAAAAAATCCACTTTCACATATGAAGAAATCTTGACTTCGCTCACTGATTGCGAGACACTGATTGATAAGTGGACAATCACTGACATATTTATGAGACGAGGTCTCAGTTACGCCTGCTCATTTTATTCAAGATTTAGGCTAACCAAAAGCCATTGATTCTCATTTAATTGACTTTCAGCACTTGCTGACAGGTATGCATTCCTTTTTTGCCTAAAGGCTAAATCTACGGAATTTTTTCTGTAAAGAATATCCTGGAGACTTGGTCATCTTCATGGAGAAAGACGATTTCTCCTCCTAATTGAGTCAAAGAATCCAAGCAGGATAAAATGGTCTTTAGCACAGGTAACTTTTTCCTGGTAAAGATGTAGAGACATTAGGTTATTTCGAGGCCGGAGAGATGAAAAATGAGGAACTTCTTCGCCGGAAATCGAACCACGGACCTCTGGAATACGCGCCCAGCGTGCAGACCACCACACCATGAAGGCGGGAAAAATACCTTATAAAGACAATGTTCAACGTGTCGCAAAATTACGAGTAACTAATGATGAAATCCTACGATGTCTTTAGTGAATTTATCCGTTGGAGCTTACTTCTGCCGAGAACTTCGTTGAAGTGCTGCAGAAAACAGAGGCTACCCCCAAAACAGAAACTAACTAGATTCCAGAAGACGGAAAGGTAACTCGAAGTGGTAGCCGAGTAGTGTTTATGAAACGCATGAACTGCTATTGACTTTTACTAACATTAGATAACTGTAATGTCATTTTGAGAGCTTATTTTCTTTTATCTTATGTTCACACGGCGCTTATAGTTCTCAATTCAGTTCATTTCGTGTGTTACAGTTTATATCTAATATATATGTATAGTTTTCCTTCTTCCCTTTTGTATTCCTTTAAAGCAAATTGCCTGCAATGCAGAAGATGAGAGGATGTTGTTACTCTAATAAATTTTAACATTTCCTGTTTTGGATTATTTAATCATTTGTCTTCTATGAATTTGTCTACTTATGAATCTGGTAATATGTAGTTTTTTGGGGGGAGGCGGAATTTATTACCGTTCTAGCTACCTGCATTTAATTTACTCTAAAAATATATTGAATGCTATTCATTATTAAGATATACGAATCATTTAATCATTATACTAAACCCACATCTAAATAGTATCTAAATCTGTGTGCATTTGTGTAGTGAAAGTAAATTGGATATGAACAATGTTCGAATTCCGAGTCAATACAGTATTCTCGCATTTTAGACTAACACAATTCAGCATTTTCTACTGAAAATAGCAATAAAATTATCTGTTTATTATTGTAAATTAACATGAAATTAGTAATTACTTTAAATTTGCATTTCTAACAATTAAACTTTTTCTAACAATTAACTTAACTTTGGTTTACTGAAAATAAGTACTATCAATTGTTTACTTGAAAATAACATGATAGAATAATTCAGTTTTATCATTTATCAAAGCTCTAAGCAGCAAGTCACGACTACTTGTAGCTCAGACAACTTCAAAATTTTCAAAGAGTTTTAAGCTTTGGCATTAAGACCTTATGAATTTTGTATATATATATGTGTGTGTGTGTGTAAATAGTTTTAGTGGAATTATACTTAAAATTCCGGTATATTTTGTATAATGCGACTGAAGAAATAAGTGAGCCTAAATAGATTGTAATATCAATGAACATTTTTAATGACAGAGATTAACTTAAACATAGTTGCATACAGCAGAGAAAAAGGGCGAAGAAAAAAGAATAGTTTACATATACATACATACGTAATAAACAGTTACGTCATCATTCACCGCGCGGATAAACGCGAACGGCGCATGCGTCAGGAGAAGCTCTCTTAAGCTAAACGTCGTATTATAATTTATGATACAACAATCCCCCTTTCGACGTTTGGCGGCTGAAAAAAAAAATAAACATTAATCATTTACAGTTATTCCAATTAATTTACAGCACTTAGAATGTTTCGAAGCAGTCAATGTTTTTGTCAGTACATCAGCAGGCATTTTCTCTGTTGGCACATATTTAACGTCTATTTCATTTCTTTCATAAATTTCACGAATGAAATGATGTCTAATATCTATGTGTTTAGTGCGTGAGTGATAAACAGCATTTTTTCATAAGCTTCTGTGCACCTTGATTATCACAATATATAATGGTTGGATAATCAGCAGTAAAATTTAATTCTTTAAGAAAACGACGTAAATAAACTGCTTCTTTGGCACTTTCTGAAAGACTGATGTACTCTGCTTCAGTACTTGATAATGCAACAGTTTGTTGCTTTCGTGATTCCCATGTTATCGGATTTCCAGCTAGCTTGAATAGGTAACCTGTATACGATTTTCTAGTATTAACATCAGACGCCCAGTCGGCATCGGTATATCCAATAAGTGCTTTTCCAGTCTTTCGAAATTTTAAACAATAATTTTTAGTTCCTTTTAAGTATCGAAGAACGCGCTTTGCAGCCAACCAGTGTAATTTTCCAGGATTGTTATTAAATTGGCTCAGGTGACTGACGGCATATGTAATATCCGGCCTAGTAAACACAGAAAGATACATAAGCGAACCAATTAGACGGCGATAAGGTACATTGTTCATTTCTTCCTTTTCAGTTTCAGAAGGACACATTTCTTTACTTAATTTTACACTAGGATCTAAAGGAGTTGCTACTGGTTTTGCATCTTGCATATTAAACCTTCGTAGAATATTATCAACATATTTCTGCTGAGATAAACTAATAGAATTATTATTTACATCTTGATTAAATTCTATTCCAAGACAATAATGAAGTTTGCCTAAATCTTTAACATGAAATTCTTTAGAAAGATAACCTTTAAGTTCAGCATATAAATCACAGCTATTTGTTGCTATTATTAAGTCATCAACATATAAAATTAGAATTAACTCACCTTGAGATGTTTTCATCCTGTATACACACTTATCTGATTGTAATGGTTGTAATCCAAAGTTTTTGAGTTTTTTGTCTAATTTTTCATACCACTGTCGTCCACTTTGTTTCAAACCATAAAGAGACTTTTGCAAAGCATAAACATAATCAGGATTATTTTGGTCTTCAAAACCTTTAGCTTGTTCCATGAAAATTTCTTCTTTTAAATCTCCGTTAACATAAGCCATAACAAAATCTAGTTGATATAACATAAGGTCTTGTTCAGCACTGTATGCAATCACAGTTCTTATAGAACTTGCTCTGGCTACTGGAGCAAAGGTTTCATTAAAATCAATTCCAGGTTCCTGTGCAAATCCTCTAGCAACCAATCGAGC